TGAAAGAAATCATCTCTAGGTTTAATTGATTTGAGCAACTGTTGGCCTATCCAGTCTGTCATTTCTCAGCGAAGCATTGTATGGAACTAATTATCTCGACCCTTTACCTGATTATGGTATGGAAATTGTCCTGGTCACTCTGCTTGATCTACACCAGTCAGCTGGTGATGGAATGTGTTAACCCTGTTGGTTCTCCTGGACCTATCAGTACCATCAACCATGGTATCTTCCTGGGCCTGAGTTGTACTGTCCTGCATTGATTTTAATCTGTTTTCAGAGGTCATGTCCCAGAAGGGCCTGCTGGAGTATTGCCATTCAAGGCATTGGCATACGGGCTCTCTCAAGGTAACAACTACATGAAACTGCTTGGAGAGATCGTGCAGAGATTTGGGGCAAAGTGAGGCAAATATGCTGATGTCACACAGCTGTCTGTCTTTCCATCTGAGTCCAAGGAGATGGTGGTGGTACTGAACCAGTGTTGGAGGCTGTGAGGGACTGGATGTGGTCCAATAAATTAATATTTAATCAAATGTTGATATGGGAGTACATGCACAGCCTGTTTTGGACAGTAGTATTATCTTCCGGAAGTAGCAGGTATAAGGTTAGGGGTGTTCCTTAATGCCTCACTGTCCTTTCAAGAGGCAGATGCCAGAAGTTACCAGAGGTGATGTTTTCCAGGTTAGACTGGTTTAGCAGCTTCAGCTTGTTCCCGCAGAAGACCAATCTAGCCTTCGTCCTGTGTGTTTTGATAAAACCCAGACTAGACTGTTGCAACATGGTCTGTGTGGGACTGCTTTTGAGAACAGTTCAGGAGCTTCAGCCATTGCAAAATACAGTAGCTAGGGTCGTCACTGGGTCTTGTAAAGAGCATAGAAAACCTGTGTTGTTACAGCTGTGATGCCTACTAATTTGTTTCTGAACTCATGGTGTTGGTTTTGACCCTTAAAGCTATACGATTTGGCCCCTCTGTACATTAAAGGCAGCATTTTCCCATGTCAACATATCTAAGCCCTGAGACCAGTAAGTGAGGCTTTCCTGTGGTAAACTGCTTTCTTTTAGGTAAGATTGGTGAGGACACATGGAATGACTTTTTGGCTGCTGTCTCTTGGTTATGGACCTCCCTCTTCTAGAAGGTGCAGATGGTGCCATCTTTGTAGGCCTTCCAGAAGGCGTTTTAGTTGACTGTGTGACTGTGGTGCCATCTTCGTAGGCCTTCTAGAAGGCATTTTAGTTGATGGTGTAGCATCAGCATCATGTCCTCTTTTATTATGTCCTCAGGATTGTTTTGTGATGTTTTTATTCATCATCTTGTGCTTGTTTAGCGCCATCTCAGGTGTCTTAAATATGACTCAGACAGCACAGACATCTGCATAAGAAAAATATTTGATAAACATTTGACTGATCAAATACCCAGTCTTATTCAGATTAAACTGTAATATGTTTTCCAGTTTTTGGTCAGAAAACAAAACTGATGAATTATTCGGTAAATGGGAATATTTGGGTGGCATGAGGGACTTTAGGAGAGGAAGGGACGATCCATTCTGGGATTTGTGTTTTGTGGCTCTTCATATCTTGCCCAGTGTGGTATGAGTGGTGGGCTGGTGGTGGTTGTAGAATCTGAAGACTGGGATCCGTTTGATTGGAATTAGCCCTTCCACTCCCATCAAATATCTGGGCAGAGTACAAAATTGGTTATGAGATTCAGACCAGTTTTTGTTTTTTTAAAACTGGAAAACTTGCATGGTGTTTTGTTACACTATTTGTCATACTACTGGGGGGGGGGTAACCATAAGACAGTTTAGCTAATACAGCAGTGCCGCATCATGTGATCATGAATAGGGGTGTGCAGATTTTTTTTACTGGTATATTTTGGTTCGGGTCTATTGAGCCAGAAAAAAATTCAGGATTCCCAAAAAATCCCAGGTCCCAATACCGGTATGTTATTTGGATCCGGGATTTTTCCGAAATCCTAATTTTTTTCAGGTCCAATAGACCCAAGACGAAAAAAAGGTGAAAGAAAAGGCACACTTAAGGCTGTGCCAGTGGGGAGCAGTTTGCTCCCCACCAGCACAACTGATCCTCAGGCGAGCTTCTTCTGCAGCCCTGTTTAAACCGGGTTGCACGAGAAGCCAGCCCAAAGCTGTGCCAGCGAGGAGTGGTCCGCTCCCTGATGACAGCACAGCAAATCCTGCAGCTGGCTTCTAGTGCAGCTCCATTTAAACGAAGCTACACAAGGAGCCAGCCTGAAGGTGTGCCGGTGAGGAGTGGTCCTGCCAGCACAGCTGATCCTCAGTCCTTGTTTAAATGGGGCTGCAGGAGAAGCCAGCCCAAAGCTGTGCCAGCGAGAAGCGCTCTGCTCCCTGACAGCACAGCTGATCCCTGGGCTGGCTTTTCTTGCAGCCCTATTTAAACTGAGCTGTATGAGGAGCCAGCCCGAAGCTGTGTAAGTGGGGAGCCATTCACTCCCTAACAGCACGGCTGATCCTTGGGCTGCCTTCTGCAGTCCCTTCAATTTTAAACCCCCCCCCCCTGGTTTCCTGTCTCATTATCAATGGTGATTTTTCCACACCCCTTTGCATATCTCACCTAAATCCAGTTGCGCCTGCTGTTGTCATTCACCTGCTAATGTCATTCGGCATCTGAAATCACTCCACTTTCCAATAAACAGGACAGATGGACTCCCATTCTAGCTCTGTCTGAAAAAGTGAGCAGTGACTCATGAAAGCTCGTACCTTGCCACATATTTTGTTAGTCTTTAAGGTGCTACCGGACTCTTGCTCTGTTCTACTGATGAGTTAATGTTTGCACAGTCATTCTCATATACTTTGATGTTTGGAGGCCCGGCTCGGGAGAATTGCAGACTTGCAATATACTGCACGAAGCTCCCTTTTAGCAAGCCAGACAACTGGTCCATCTAGCCAGGTGTACATCTGCTACTGACAGCAACTCTGTAAGGTTTCAGGCAGAAGTCTTTCACATCACTTGCTACCTGATCTTTTTAAGTGTTGTCAGCTGCCTCACAAATTCACTGCAGGTATAAAGTTCCCAAAGTCTCAGTTCCCTTCTAGCTTTTGTTAGATGCTATTTCACATTTGCAATGGACTTTTATCAATTGTTTTTCTGGCAAATTTAGCATTAATCTCCTTGAAGGTTCATTACCTGATAAGGTGGTGTAAAACCTTTTTTTAAATAAAATCTAACTTTAAATGGTGATGTATTCTAGAACGTGCCTGTAACCCTGGTGAAATCGGTTTGTTTGTATCTGTCTTATAGGCTAATTATAGTCCTTTCATTTTCTTGGAAGGTGACAAGATGTAAATATGTGGTACCTGGGTTATAAGTGCCTTTTCTCCTGTCTGTCTGAAATCTGGCACAGATGATCCTCGATCGTTTCAGCTCTGTTGGGTATACAACAAAAAATTCATTAGTAATGTGTTTCCCATTTAAACGAATGGAACCAAAGAATATACGAAACATACCAAATAATGGGAATATAGAACAAAACAAGCTGAACATAAATAAAATTTTGGTGCGCATGCCTCCTGGACAAATGTCATGTAGTACGAAGCTAAAGAGCTACACTGACTTCAGTTTGTTTCCAGGCACAACTCAAAGTGCTGGTTCTTCTCTTTAAAGCCTTGCATCCTGTAGGGCCAAGATATCTGAAGGGAAGTCTTCTCCATATATGCCTGCTTGGCAGCTAAGGTACCCTGCTCCATTTGCCCCCACCATTGGAGGTAAGAGTGGTGGTGACTGGAGACTGGGCTACTTGCTGAGAGTGATTAACTGCAGAGTTCCCTTCCCACAGCCACTAGCCCTAGCCTGTTAAGTCTTAGGTGCCAGACAAATGTCTTGTTTGCCCAAGCATTAAGTGAACTTGCCTTTTAATGCTCTGCTGTTGCTGGTTCCTACTGCCATTCTTATTGATTTTACAGGGTGGGTGGTGTGGGTATTAAACTGCTCCGCTGCTTTTATTGGGTTATTTCAGCATTGAACTGATTTTAATTATTTGGGTTCTTTGGTTGTTGTTTTTAAAGTTGTGAACCACATCAAGCATGTTTTATAAAAGCATTCAATACATATTTCCTTGTATTTAGGCTGCATTGTATTATCCATTAAAAAGAAAACCCCTCTTCTGAGTCCTGCTTTGGTATCTGTAAAGAAACAGAAACGTTGATGGTTTCAAATAAAAGATGCATCAGGAGAGGGTAGAAAAAGTGATAGAACAATTTTTACTCCATTTATCTGTGGAATACATTTAGAAGCGATAAGGCTGAGTTTATATTGAAATCTCTACTTAAGTTTATATTGAAATCTCTACTTAGAGAAATCTGAAACATCCTCCTTATTTTAAAAGTTTATCTGTATTGATTATGTCATTGTGTCCTATTGCATGAAATAGAGTTTGCAGTGAAAGTAGCTGGGCTAGTTATAGTAGTACTTCTGTTGTCACAGCTACTTACGTGGCGTCTGGATATCTGACGAGCTTTGACTCATGAATGCTTACACCCTGGAAAAATTGTGTTGGTCTTTCAGATGCTACTGGACTCGAATTATGTGGCGTGATGCCACTACATTGGAAAGTTGGCATAGGATGTCTCCTTCTAGCAACAGATGATTTTGTTGTAATTATAATTCTCAGTATACTACAGAATGCCATACCTTTGCCAGTCCTATAATTTAGAATGTCTTGGAATAATCAGATATCAGTAAAACAGTTAATTACTGCCAATTCCTATTTCAGACATCTTTTCTGTTATTTATAAAACAGTATTTCATCATTTCAAACAGATTTTTTTCCCTTTGAAGAAAAAGTTACAGCCTGTTTTAATTGGATGGGCCTTTATATTGTTGCCTTGGCACTATTTGGTCAACATGTCATTTTTATTTACATTACCTCAAAAACAAACTAACAAAACCACCACTAATCTGGTCTGTGTAATATTAAGCAACGAAATCAACATCTTTCACAAGAGTTTTTTTGGCAATTTTTATTGCAGTGGTTCAGCATGTTTTGAGTCTTCTTTCAAATTAACAACACACAGACTTGCAGGTACTCCTTCTGCGTTGTACATGACACTTAACATTGCATTATACTTTGTGTGTATGAGAGAGAGTGCGCATGAAAGGAGAGACCACATAACTCTGAACTGCATGTCTATAATATTTATTTATTAGATTTTGGTTCAAAAACATCAGAGTTGTATGGATTCAGTACAACAACTGATGAATCGGATTAATTAATATGGGGAAATGGTGGGAATGAAAATAAATTATCAGAAGACGAAAATGATTATGAAAAATATGACATTGAAACAGAGATGTGAAATAGCAGAGTTAACTGGACTTCAAATGGAAAAGAAAGTCAAATATTTAGGCATTAATATTGCAGCAAAATGTAGCTCTCTGATGAAAGATAACTTGAAAGTGTTTCAAGATATTAAAAAAGATTTAGAGAAATGGACAAAGCTGCAAGTATCACTAATGGGTAGAATAGCAATTTTGAAAATGAATATTCTATCACGTTTGATGTTTTTATTTCAGACCCTGCTGATATATAATTAACAAAACTTTTTTGATGAACTGAATAAACTGACACAACACTTTATATGGCAAGGTGTCTCAGAGTGGCTTAGAAACGCCTTTCCTTTCCCCTCCCCACAACAGACACCCTGTGAGGTAGGTGGGGCTGAGAGAGCTCTTGACAGAAACTGCTCTTTTTCAAGGACAGCTCTTATCAAAACTATGGCTTGCCCAAGGTCATCCAGCCAGGTGCAAGTGGAGGAGTGGGGGATCAAACCCGGTTCTCCCAGATTAGAGTCCGCATACTTAACCACTACATCAGATCAATAGTTTTATTTGTGTTGTCTGAATGTTGCAAGTGCAGTTTTGTCTGGGATTCTTCAGTTCCCCAGTTCAGTTACCAATAAATATATTTTAACTTAGAACTGTATCTTTATTGAACATAAAATCACTGTAGCAAATTCAAGTAGATGCAGAAAATAAAAAAGCCTTTAATTCCCCCCCCCCTTTCAATAAAACATCCAACATTTTGCTGGAAGGAGATCAGATTATTCTAATTAAGGTTCCTAATATAATTTTTATGGACTAAATGGCCCCTAGTGTTTGAGGCATCAAGGCTTATTGAGATGAATGAGGTCCATTATGTTCCATGTATGAATTTTGAAATATATAAGCAACTGTGATCAATATTTGGAAATAACTGGTTTAAATTGGTCTCTTCTCAACTGTTAATTCTATTAAGGCTTTTTTTTTTTTTGGTAATCTGGACTCTCAGACAAAAACTGGCTTTTCTAAATTGTAATTGCATGCTTGAAATGGAAGATTTAAATTTTCACATTTATAATTTTGTCATGTTGATCTCATTTCTTAGGTGTTCCCCCACCCCCCCATCCTGATGTTTGGTCTTGTTTGAGCACCGAGATGGATAGAAATTGAGGAGTCTCTGCTTCAACCACAAGTAGGTTTTCATGCGTTTAACACGGGTTGTATAGTGTTCTTCATTCTTAATCATTTGTAAGTGAGTTGTGTGGAATATTCAGATATGGCCTATTAAAAGTTTCAAAATCAGTCCATTTGCACAAGTCTCTGCAAATCTTACGGAATGTATCTTCATTCGTATTTCTCCCTCACCATTGAATGAGAAGCTTTGTTTGTCTTTTGTCTCTTTGTCTATTGTGAGGAATAAGGTCTTGTCTGTGGTGGCATCTGGATATTCTTATCCAGGATACTTATCCAGGAATTTCTTATTTTCTGTTTTCCATTAAGTGAACATACTTTTATGTATGAGAGATTTTCCTGCCTACTTGGTTAAAAGGAACTATTGCTTATATTTAGTGCGGATCCAGGCTTCTACAAAATGGAGAGAATTTAGGGAAGTTGTTTTTCCCTGACTTCCCCTCCCTTTGGCATCAGCCTCGCCCCTGCCGAGGGTTGGAGGACCCATGCAATATGAGGCACTGCAGCAAGGAGGCTATATTTTTTTTGGAGAAAAATGGGAGGTACAAGTTATGAGCCACTTTAACCAATGATCTCTGTGCACTGTTGACATCTTCAGACAGCAAAAATTTGGCCCTGGGACTATTGTTGCTATTGTATTTCAGATTGTTTTGGTCTTGAAATTCTTGCTTGAGCCAGTCGGGGCGATGGTCCTTCTATAACTGATCACAAAGAAAATGCACTTTTTTTGGGGGGGGGTATTTTGTGTGTGTGTGTAAGTGGTTAAGACGCTGAACTGCAGGCTGTGGAAGGTCAGTCGTTCAGCAGTTCGAGACCCGAGTGTGCCGCATGATGGAGTGAGCTCCCGTCTCTAGTTCCAGCTCCTGCCAACCTAGCAGTTCGAAAGCAAGAAATTGCAAGTAGATAAATAGGTACCACTTCGGTGAAAAGTTAACAGCGTTCCGTCATGTTTAGTCATGCCGGCCACATGACCACGGAAACGTCTTCGGACAGTGCTGGCTCTTCGGCTTTGAAATGGAGATGAGCACCGCAACCCTAGAGTCGGATTTGGCTGGCTTTCGAGCAAGGGAACCTTTACCTTTACCTTATGTGCGTGTGAGTGTGTGTGCACCTAGAACTTAAGTCATGGCAACCTCTGATGACTGACTGTGCACCTAGAAGTCATGGCGGCCTCTGGTGACTGACCCACACTGGGGCCCTGGAGGATAGTCAAAGAGATGGCTGAGTAAAGCCTGCCTCCACCTCCTGTGTCTGGTATTTCAAGGAGGGCTCCCATCCAAGTACACGCCCAAGTTGACCTTGCTTAGCTTCTGAGATCTGACGAGATTGGCCTTGCCTGGGCTATCCAGGGTCAGGGCAGAAAGTGCACTCTCAACAGTTTTGTTCATCTTCTCTTGCTTCATTTGGGCTGTTAAACTGCTTCATTACTTATATTGTATTTTTTCTTCTTACTTGAGCTGCTCATTCTAGGAAATGGGTGCAGTGCAATTATTAATGTCTGCTGAATGTAGTGTTTTCTGGAAGATCTCTCACAACTCGACAGGAAATATGTTATTTGCCAAGTCTCTTGTTTTGTTAACACTAAAAAATCTGCATGAAAACAGTTTAAGCTGTTGATTGTAGCGGAAGTTGAAATACTGCTATATAGACGGTCAGTTTGAAAAGCCTTGTTGCTGTTGCACAGTCATGTTTAGGTTGCTTTGCCCCTTATTTATTATTTACTCAGTTTTTACCCCGCCGAAGCAGGCTCAGGGCGGCTTACATAAAAGTTTAAGAACACATTTTAAAAACATAGAACATTTCTAAAACAATTGTAAAGTGCTATTTATACATGTACGATATGCTAATTATACAATGGCAAAATATAATTTCATTATTTGTCATAGTGGGCATAGTCAGGAGGAGTTATCGAGCTGTTGTTTGATCGGTTATAATATATTTCCAGTGGAATCGACACAGTGCAGGGCAGGCCCTCCAGGGCTTAGGGCCTCTTCAGATGAATGCCTGGTGGAAGAGCTCCATCTGGCAGGCCCTGCGGAATTGCAATAAATCCTGCAGGGCCCTGATACCCTCTGGGAGCTCATTCCACCAATGTGGAGCTGCCACAGACAAAGCCTTAGCCCTGGTGGTAGCCAGCCTGGTGTCTTTAGGGCTGGGGCGAGCCAAAAGATTTTGTGACCCTGAGTGCAGTACTCCTTCTTTTCTTGTGCATGATCCCCATATTATTTATTACTTTCTGTTTTGGGTTTGTTGGTTTTGGTATTCTATTTGTGTAGTCTTATGTTGTATTTTATTGCAATATTTACAAACGTATTGGAGAGGAGAGTGAATTTGATACCATTCTTGAATTATATAGGGTGTTTGTTTATCTTTGGAAACTTCAGTTGTTGGACAGAGTTTTTTGTATTAACAAACTATTATCTTGTTGAATATTCAGTTCATAATTTTGCTATAACTGTTTAGTTTTTTAGTAATAAAAGGATATAAGTTACTTTAATTCCAGTATTAACAGTGGTATTTTTGCATTTGGTTCTGGTTCATGGCACAGGAAAGGATCATAATTCTGAAATGGAAGTTGGATCTTCATTTGTCAAAGCCAGCCTTTCTTCTGAAAATGTATCAGTACTAAATCATGAAGAATATGTCTTGGTTAACAAACAGTCTGACGATCAATCTGAAAAAGATGAGAAATTCCATTTGAAGGTAACACTTTCTCATTTTGCAATTTAATTAGGAGCTACTTTTAACGACATCTCCCATGAGTGCCATAATCAGTCTTAAAATATGCCTGAAGTAATTCTAAAATCAATGTGTGTTAAGGTTGCCAGGTCTCTTACCTCTTTGCAGCGAGGGAAGGAGCTCCTGGTCCGGGACCATAGAGTTTTCAGGCTGAATGCTAGTGTCCCCCTGGTGACATCACCTCCGGGTGATGTCATCACGCCAGGCATGTCAGCCCGATCCAGGCACTTTGGGGGCAGGGTTCCCCCTGCCGGCTGGATCCGGGCTGGCAGGTCAGGGGCCCCTAGAATGGGCAAACCCCTGACCCCCGGGGATCTGGCAGCCCTAATGTGTGTAATAAAATGGAAAGAATGAGGTGCAGCACTTGGCAACTCATGCTTTTCTGTCATGCTTTTCAGTCAGTTTTTATCATGGGTGTGCTTACTTTATCAAGGCCACCGTTTATTGAAATATTAGGTACCCAAAACTTGTAAACTTGATATTAGCTCCATGACTAGGGCTTTTGGTTATAATTTTATGTTAAACATTTGATATTTTATTAGTTAAACAGTCATACAAGGTTGAAACAGGTTATGTTTATTTATTTCATTTATACCCTGCCTTTCTGCCCTATGGGGATCCAAAGCAGTTTACCTCATTCTACCTCTCCTTCATTTTATCCTCACAACAACCCTGGAAGGTAGGTTAGGCTGTCTGTGTGTGTGATTGGCCCAGGGTCACCCAGCACGGTTCCATGGCAGTCTGAGGATTTGAACGTAGGACAACACCACACTAGATAAATAAACAACCTACACATACACCACACTGAAAATTTGTAAATTTATGGAATATTGTTGCTTACTAAATGTTTTCATTGAAAAAATATTTGTGTTCATGTGTCCCTATACAGATGTTTCCAAATGAATATGAACAAATGGAGAAAGCAACAGAAGAGATACTGAAGGATTCTGATAAGGATCAGAAATGGGATATTGTTGATTGTGAACATCTGAGTGGTGATTGCAGGCAGTCATCTGAAGATGTTTCTGATAGCCAGCCCTCTATGCATCTTCTACTTGATCCTTGTACCACAGGTACTTTGAAATTATTTTTGTTTATTAATATCTAAGGAAAAATGTGGCAACTGGAGATAGAAGTGGGGAAACTGGGAGGTCTGGGTTTCATTGTTCTGTAAAAGAAAATTTGAAGTTACCATTTCCACCTAAACCAACTTCCTTAGTTTTGCAGTTCTATTTTTTATGTACATTTTATTGTTTGTGACTGAAAGGGGCAGTGATGGTGCAGGAAACTGCTCTACATTTACTTTCTGTGAACTTTCCTGTTATGATCTGGGATGTGCCACCAGAGGCCTACTAGGCCCAGGGAGCCTGGCTAGCAGTAGGGGAGGCTGGGCCTACAACCCCAGAAGGCCTTGGGAAGTTTTGGCGCTGATTTTGACCACTAGGGAAGAAGAGGGCTGGGAAATAAAAGAACTGGTGCAAGAGGGAAAGCTGTTCTTCTTCCCAGGAAACAGGGCTGCTGTGGGGAAGAAATCGTCATCCTGAGGGAAGGGTGAGTAGTCTAAGGCCACTTGAGATAGTGAGCTAGGGACAGTATATATTTACACGCGTTAGGGCATTTGATTCCTTTTCTTTTCACCCACTTACTGTTATTATTCCTGCACCTTGTTTGTTTGACCTCCTATAAACGTTTTCCTTGTTGTACTCTGCCTGGTCCTCACGCCTATTATTCGGCCAAAAGGGAGGTCTGAAGGTCTTGGGAGGGTGCTCTGGGCCTTCTCAAGGGTTCCTAAATCCAGAGTGGTGGCAGCGTCAGGTGATACCCCACCTGAGCCGTGACATGGCCCAATGTAAATTTTCCATGGGCTGACTTTACATGAAAATGTAGTCAGCTAACATAGGCAAAGTTATACTGTAGAAAAAGTACATAACAATATGCTGTTAAAACAGATCAAATGGCAATACTGAAAGTAAAAGCGAGAACAACAAAACCCCCAAAGCTGTGGCACCTTACGTTGCAAAAATGTATCAAAAATACTTCCCCTTTTTGTTTTTCTCTAGCTGCTGAAAGAAAATCCAAACTAAGACCCCTTAAAGAAAATGATCAGCTTTTGCTTTTGAGCATGCAAAGGAGTTGCTATCAAATATACCACTTGGGTGTTCAAAAATAGTACATGAAAGTAAACAGGAAATATTAGGCACTACAGTGACAAAGAAGTTGTTCTTAAGATATATTAAACTTTATTGGTTGTGGTAAAAACATGTGTTTGAGAAGTTGTGGAGGCCAGAGCAGGTTCTGCATTGGAGTAAGCCATGGTATTGTGCTGACAGTGGATGAAGGCCTTTTAGTCCGTTTTTTTCTTCACAGCTCCATTTAGACACCTTAAAGTGATAAAGCCACTAAAAGAATCCAGGAACGTAGCCAGGACTGTGTTCATAATATTTACATCAAGTTTCTGTATTGTATTAGTACCATTCTATATGGTCTTTCACCATAGACCTATATATATTTACTCATACTTATACAATGAATGTTACTTGATAGATAGTTGCAATATAAATAGTATAACAAAGTGTGTTAAAATTTACAGAATAGTGTTTTTTCTTCGGTAAGTGACATTTTTTCATGGTATTGAGCTGGGCTGCACCCCAATATCCTTGAAACATATTAATGTAGTCAAGATGATGTGACTGCTTCAAGGAAAGGAGAAAATGTGGATAACGTTTGAATTTTATTCAATTTCAGAAGTTTTACCACCAGGACCGTATTCCCCTACCGTACCCTCAGAAGAAGACAGCGTATTATTTAACAAACTGATGTATCTTGGATATATGAAAGTGATTGCTCCTCGCAGTGAATTGGAGGCATTGCGTGCCATGGCGGCTTTGAAAAACTCAAATCATTCACGTTTCCCTGTAACTTTATATGTTCCAAATATCCCTGATGGCTCTGTTAGGTGAGCTGTATTTATTTATCTATTGATTCAACAAATGTACTTACTATACTATGTTCTCTCCACCATTCATTTCTTACAGTGACTTCCAACATTGGCAAAACATCAAGAATAAAGATTAATATAAACTGCAATCACTAATTTCAATGTGTGTGTATCTATATATATCTTGATATAGTGTGTGTGACTATGCATGACATATTATCATTCCCACATTAGTAAAGTGGGCGATTTTGTTTATTTCATTCTTTGTGTACACCATGAAAAAGAAACCCACCATGGCTGGAGAAGGGAGGGTGGGGCAAAAACTTGTTATTTTCTTAGCCTCTTTCTTTAAACTAATTTTAATTATTTAAATTTAAGATATTGAAAACTAAGCCAGTGAGAGAGGGAATCTGATATTATGTAGAATCCAGCCTTTAAAAATACAGTCGTTTGTACACAGAATACATATATTTTCAAAAACCTGTTCTTCTTACACATGAACAGAACTTTAGACTTTAGTTTCAAGGCTGCTGCGCAATTTGGGTAGAAACATAAGCTTTGGTTTTTCTAGGCTTGCCAAGTCCCCCCGGGGGGCTGGGAAGCTCCCGCCCCAGAGGCCCGTTCCCCGTCGCTGGCGGATCGGGCCCCGGGGGGAACTGCACCCCGGTGTGCGTGTCACCAGGAAGTGACGTTATGATGCCGGGCACGCTGGGGGCGGGGCCACAGTCATCCAAGGGAACACTCTATGGTTTCCCCTTGGATGGTCATGGCCCCGCCCC